GGCTTCTCTGTTGTCAACTTTTAACTGGGGGTCCGTGTTTACCTGAGAATCAAATTCTTTATTTTTCTCACGCCTTAAAATCTTCTTATCGCCAGATGCCCATTTTCGATGACGCTATGTCTGACGTCAACAGTCTGAAAAAGTAATAATAATTTCCTCCACGATTTTCTACCTCATGCCAAAATTCTAACAGGGGCACCAGACCATATATGGCAGCAATACGCCATGCAAGGGCGAATTGTTGATTTGTAGATATGGAGGATCGACTCCGGGGAGAAAAATTTCCTGGCGCGGCTCAGGGAGCCAACTTTCCTTGCGGTGGACGAAGCAATTGACTCAATGTATTTATTCCATCTCAGGTCAGCAGTCAACGTGAGACCGAGAAGCCGAAGAGAGTTGCTCTCAAGAAGTTGAGCGTCAGACATTCTAATAGAGGGAAGGGAAGGATCTCTGTGGTGATTAATAGAGAGCAGTTTTGTCTTCGAAGCGTTGAAGTTGACCAGCCAATTCATGTCCCAGTTCACAATTGATTGGAGGTCCTTTTCGAGACGCACGGCCAGGTGAGTTTTGTCAGTGAGACTAGATTTGTTTTTGAGGCAGGAATAAATTGTGGTGTCATCCGTGTAGATGCCAACTTGGGAAGTTATGGCGTCAGAAAGGTCATTTATGTAGATAAGGAAGGCTCCAGAGGCGGATATGCAATGTAGTTGGGCCTTCTCTGGCGTCCCGTCTACAGTCACTTTCTCACAGACGCGCCGTCGTCTCCCTCTGTCTGTTCTACAAATACTTTCATGGAAATTGCTCCGAGGAGCTGCATTCGCTGGTTCCCAGACGTCATGAGTTCAAGCGCCATACGAGGCTGGCATCCCGCTCTCACCCCTTCACTGTCAAAACTCCTAAATGTAGCCGTCTCTTCTACTCCAATAGCTTCATGTCTCGCACCTCTCGCCTGTGGAACTCCCTTCACTATTCCTGTTTCCCTGAGAGCTATAATCTCCAGCTATTCAAATGTAATGTCAATCGACATCTCCAGTCGCCTTGATCTATCCACTACCCTTCTCCTCATCCTTTCTTCTATCACGCCTATCTGATCTTGCTCTAAATTTTCTGTAACATCTTGCGTACTAGTGGCTTCCCGCCTTGCTTGGGGTGAAACGCTTAAAAAAAAAATACGAGATGATTTCCCTTCGTTGGACCCAGGAATCAAAATTAAATGATATCTCTGAAAGATAACTAATATCGATTCTCTCTGCCTGTATCGGAGTCGTCTCAAGCCGATTTTTTTTAATGACCGCCATATGTCGGCTGTCTTTGTTTTTCTTTTTGAATTCTGTTTCCTTTAGCGCGTCATTCCCTTACCATGACATTAATCAGTTTTGACAGAATCTCATATCTCGCTTTTTCTTACGGATTTTCTGTCTCGTGGGAAAAGTATCTTTCTTCGTAAATAAAATAAAATCCTCTTTTTAACGTCGCTCTGTCTATCTTTCGATATAGCTCTTTCTCGCTTTAAGTCTTTCCTGTTTTTAATTTCTATGGTTAGTTAGCCAATTACCATAGCTAAATAGCGTCACAGTAACTTGTCTGTCGTTCTTAATGAAACTTGTATAAAAGAAGGATTGCTGCTTAAATACCCAATTATATATATATTTCTATCTACATATATACAAATTATGTACATATATGCATTTATATGACTAAATATATATATATATATATATATATATATATATATATATATATATAAAAGTGAACATTGAATTCAACATCTATATTTACTTACGCTCTATCTCTGATATTGAGCACTTTATCCCATAAATATAGCACAACTTAAAACTATATATATATATATATATATATATATATATATATATATGTGTGTGTGTGTGTGTGTGTGTGTGTGTGTGTAGATGCATTCATGCATGGATATATATATATGTAAAGTGACAGTTGTATATGCTTATCAAATATTGCCTCTCCATTTCTCTAGAAGAGAAAATATCTAAGGAGAGGTGTCAGCGTTTTCATCCGTTCTTCTTCACCGGATTTAACCTTTCATCCAAATATGTCAAACGCTTCATTTGTTTTTTTCGTTTACAAAATCAATCATGTATTTCCACTTGAACTAAAAAATTATAAATGGGAAGAAAATATCACCTTCACTCTTCAATTTAAAATCGTTCAAATGTCATCGATATTTTAGCCTCTTAGACACCCACCACCCAATGTATTACACAAAAACTTAGAACTTCCTCCTTGAAAAAGTCTTACTGACTGCTTGTGACATACGAAAACAAGCCGTTCTTTTTTCTAATAGGTAATTCAAAGTCATAACAGTTTACTGGCATCGCTTTTTAACCATTGCCAGGCTATAAAACTTTGCAGATTTTTGAAAAGGTTGCAAGAATATAACATCGAGAAGAATACCCACAGCAGTTGGCTTATGTTACTAACAAGTTACTTGTCTCTTAACAGTAAGAATTCAATCATCGTCACTCCGATGAATTGATGTGGTCGTCGGGTCGTAAGATGAAAAATTTACATGAAAATCCGACAGGATGAAAAATATAAAAGACAATTTTGAAAAAAAAAAAAAAAAATATATATATATATATATATATATATATATATATATATATATATATATATATATATATATATATATATATTAAAAATATGTTTGGTAGTACAAAATTTTATCACTGCCATAATTTTTTATTATATAATTTACTCGATTTAGCTCTGTTGGGCGAGGTACGAAACCGGTTAGCTAGCCTGTTTTTCATTTTCACTTTTTATTATCATGAGTGGTAATAATCGAACTAATTATAATATATATATATATATATATATATATATATATATATATATATATGCGTTTTTCCAAATTTATATAAATATATATATATATATATATAAATTTAATTTTCTAGATTTTGTCGAGTGGAATTGTATATTTATTTCCAATGTTTTTAAGGGAGGATTCACTCTGCTAACAGTTAACATAATGAATAACATATAAAAGAGGGACTGCTGCCCAAATTCAATATTATATATATATATATATATTTTTTTTCTAGTTGTAAGTTCTATTTTTAAATAATTTATGATATTTTTGCGTCCCGTTGAATAGGAATAAATTAAAGTATTGAAGGAGATAATTTTCCTAACATTGATATGGTATTGTTAATAAATATCTCACATTGTGGCAATAGAAGATCTACAAAGAAACGTGAAATGTAAGAACCTGGACATAAATTACAGATGTTCAAGCGATTAAAGCACTTTCTATACATTTTCGTCTTAGTGAATTGATTCATAATTTTTATTAATGCAGCCTCTCATCAAATCGCAATTAGGGTCAGATTCATTACGATGTGCAATAATGCATTGTATTTATGAGATGGGTAGAATCATATATTTTGATTCTATTTACACTATTTACATTGTTTGGTCTATTGTCCTCATCATGTTCATGACGTTTCAGCCGTTGTACGTTCCGGCCTTCTTCAGGAGATTGAAATTTAGAACCGAGCCTTTATTTCGTCAACGGAGGAAAATTTTTCTTGTTTCATGTGCCATGACTATTCCGGTTGTCGCATTTATTTTCCTTTGGTGACACAAATCTCTAAGATTTGTTCCGAATGGTTCACTCTTCTATTTTTAAATATTTTACAAACCTTTTGTTCTACGTTGAATAAGACATAATTAGAGCATTGGAGGAGCTTTTATGAACTAGAAGCAATTTTACTTATGAAACAGAAACAAATAACTAAAACTGTCTAGACAGTATATTACACTGTATTGACTATAACCTAAATCTAGTTGTCCATTGCAAATTGTATAATATACATGATATCATAAATTCTTATTCTCATCATAACAAGAAAATAAAATTGCAAATAATTATGGGATTCTATTTAAGAGCACTCAGAATTTGAAGCCTTCAGTATGAAGAGGAGAAATACATTGGAAGCTCCTCCGAAATTAATCTGACTATAATTATGATTTTAGAAATATTACTTTAATTAAAAGAGAAAACAATTTACTGAAGTGAAAATGTAAAGAAAGTGCACAGACTGCTAGAATCTCCTTAAATCTTCGATATTCAAAATTAAGATCGTTCTCTTTTAGTGGGTGTGCTATAATAATAAAAACGACATAATTAGAAATATAACCGTGACTGTGAGTTTCATGTTTAAGCGATTACAAAGTGCATTCTTCTTTTTTGTGTGGTGTCACTTTAGGGCGTAGACGATGATTGCGCTCCACTTCATCCTCCTTCTTGTAGCTCTTAACCCGGTTCTACTCAATCCCATCAAGTATGTTACACACTGCTTGACTCTTTCCCTCTATCTGTCCCGTGAGTATCCAATTCTTCCAGCACGCCTTTCTTATTACGTGCCACAGAAATTTCAACTGCCTCTTTCCGATGTTAAGTATAAGATTCCTTTTTGTTTCCATTTTCTACAAAACATTGCCCAATAGTAAGGCATAATCTTAATGATTTTGATGCAAATATCAACGGCCAGGATCATTCACTCAGGTGGTATCAGTTTTAATGTTATCCCAAGCGTGAAATTGGCAGTTGTACTTCTCTTTCTTAATTCTTGACTTGATTTCTGAATTATTTTTTAACTATTTTAGATATGTACGCCTGAGTGTGTATGGTTGTGTGTTTATGTGTTTGTTACAAAAATTATTGACAAAGTGGAAAAAGTTTTTTTTAATTCGACATGTTTCCTCCTTTGATACTTGGTTGGGACTAAATTGATGTTTACGTTGGTGTGACTAACACAGGCGCAAGATGGAAAGGGAAAGATGAAATTTTACACTTCTAAATTTAACTTTTTCTAAAGATATGTTTGTGTATACAGACTGGCCAATTCCTTTGATTTCTTTTTCGTTTTGGTTTATGTTTTGTCACATTTTTAATAAGTATGCGTATGTATTGTGATAACAGATGAGCTGTCAAAAAGATGAACTATTATGAGAATTTT